TGATTTTATGAAAAATTAAAAAGTAAACATTTTTAGCTAATTAGCCTAAATTGATATACTCAAATATAATAGTGGTCATTAGTTTAGATTTTGTAACTATCCAAAACTAATCTATATATATATAAAAAGGTTTGACATTTACCTAAAATAGTAACTGAATTCCCGCCTAAATAATTCGTTTTTACTTTTATTAGTAACTTTTTTAAATATTTTGAAAATTGGCGGCAATCATTTGAAATTCAAATTAAAAAAATTAATACAATTAATGTACAAAATCTGGTCAAATATCTTCCAAATAAATAAATAAATAAGTATAATTACTGTACATAATCTTGTCAAATATCTTCTATATAATATACTTTATTAAGTAACTATTTAAATTGATTTTTACTGCTTTTAATCGCACCTGCAATGATAGTACCATTGTATTTTCTTTTATTTAATATGTTGTTATTTTCATACTGGAAATACAAATTAATAATGGATATTAATATTTTTTTTTTTAATTTTGTTGTTCGGTCAGATTTATTAAGTTGAATGCAACTGAAAATGGAAACAAATCTTTCATTATTCATTAATATTTTATTATTTTATTTGACATAAATTTTAATTATTATATTTATATATGTGTGATGTAGCTTAGTAATGGTAAAAAATCGAGAAATAGCTTAGTAATGGTAAAAAGTTTGGTAAGATACAGTTTTATATATACTAACTGCTTGACTAATTAAAGTGTTTGTCAAATATTTATTGAATCAACCAAATGAGTAATTTATGAATGTAAATTATCTTATATTCAATCCCAACTTGGATTGTGTTCCATACATATTTTACTTTTGAGAAAAAAATTGAGGTAATCATCAATCAAATTTATTGATGAACCAATTGATTTGAGCTTACATATAAACAAAAATATATATAAATATATATGTTCGACATTTACTTGAAATAGAAACTAAAATCTCGCCTACAATTTTAAAAACTATTAAATTTAATAATTTAAAAAAAAAAATCGAAAAATTCAACCTCTATAAATTAATTAATTGATTCCTGTATAAAAATGGAAAAATTAATAAATTTTAATTTGATATTAAGTTAGCTATTTTATTTTAGGTATCAGATGACCATTTTTATTTTTGGTAGGAATTGTGTTAATATTAATAAATGTCCAATTTTATGGTATAAATTGGTCGACTTTGTTTTGGTATAAAATGTTTAAATTTAAATGGTATGAATTTTATTTGGTATGGATAGAATTGCATTTTAAAATTTTGAAAACAAAATAAATTGTATGAATTTTATTTAGTATGGTATGAATGTCAAATGTGAGTTGTCATAAAATCAAGGTGATGTGATTGTCAAATCTTAACATATTTTCAGAACAACTTGTCATAAGATATTAATGATAATTTGAAAAATTAGTATATATTCTTCTTGAAAATAAGTAAAGATATTCGAATAAACATTGTTTAATAAAACATAAGTTTGTAATTAAGTTCAAGAAAATTAGTTTATAAATTTGAACAGTAAGGTAACAGACAATAAATCTAAAAAATTTCAAAATAATATATATATATATGTGTGTATGTGTGTGTGTGTGTGTGTGGGCGCGCGGACGTGGGTGAAATATATAAGAAAATTTATTGTGTAGTCCATATTTAAGTTCCATGATTTAAAGTCAAATAAGTAATTATTTATAAATTATACGTCAATATTATCGTGAACATAAATAGAATAATCAATTATTTATATTTTAATAACTTACTAACTACTTAAATTGTTTGATTTGGACAGTTTATACGAACATAAATTCATTTTAATTAATGAGTTAATGTGACGGACCAGTGAAGACTGGTGGGCACATGCCACGGAACTGATGAACGATTTGGGCCTGACACTGGCCCGGAACTGGCGGGATCTGAACTGTTGGATTCGGCGAAGTCTGCTGAAAACCGTCTCGGTCTCCACCGCCTCCTCTGCCTCTACCCCTTCGAGTTTTATAATTATACTTATTATTTACATAGATCTTTAAATATATGATAAAATTTTTGCCGAAATATTTATTTTATGTAATCAAAGTTTAGACAAATCAAATTTATGAATAAAAAATTAAAACGAAATATAATGTAAATTATTATCATACGTGTATCGTACGGGTTATGTACTAATTTTAAATATACATGTTTTATGCAATTTTACACTATTTAAATTTCATATAACATTTTCAATAAATTAACATAAGTAAATCATATTACATATTAATTCTATATTTTAAATTATAAATATTATTTAATAAGCATTTTTAA